ATAGTGCACAATTGTGTCTATATATATATATATGTGGGTCTCGGCTATGCCCTGGTTTACTGTAATTTGTTAATTATGATGTACGCATATAGCATGGAAATCTTGATTAGGCTTTCGTTATATATGAGACTGTTCATAGTACGATGGTGTGATGCAGCACATTGCAAGCTTCCGCACGTGGAGTCAGGGACTCTTCGCAGAGGAAGTGAGAAACGCTGTTTGTGTTAAACGTATATATTAGCTTCTTCTAATATATGTAAAATGCAGACATTACTCTATTTTATGTACTTAATCGGTAATGTGCCCTGAATGGCATCACTCAAGAAAACTTCTGGGCACATTAACCCTTGATATAATTTGATCAATTTTCCACCAATCAGAGCACGCAGTGCAACAGGAGGCAGCGGTGTTAAGACTCGTTCCTTATCTTAATTTTTCCTGCGTAAAAACGACCAGTAACGCATCTAAGCAATAGATGACACAGTACGCCAGGCTCTAAGTGCCAACAGATTTCATGTATGTAGTTATATGTACTTTTAGCTTCAACATTGTTTGTGTATATTACTTATTATTTACGTACGCATTATATTCCTTTAGTTTATAAACTTGTATTAACTTGTGTGCGCATATATTTGCAGGTAAAACATTAATTGTGCATTGTATAACGTCGTGTGTGCAGTTTTGTCTCAAGATACAATAAACATTCATACAAGTTGACGTTCCTGAAAATTTTCAAGTACGTATGACAGAAAATGAAGCCTTAACCATGTTTATTTAATTTTTATTAGCATTTGATTTTTAGTTTGTAATGTTTTTTTCATGGCACGTGACACGCTCTGCGCTAATTACAATGCAGTAGTTTTCACAGAAATATATTCTGCAAAGATAATACGTACTATAAAATAAAAACCAATATTGTCCACTGGAAATTAATGTTGCCTGCTAAATAGTGCTAGCAACTAGTATAGAGCAAGGATGCAATACAGGGGCGGATCCAAGGCTGAAGCTAGACAGTATTTTTCCAGATTTTAAGGGCACATCCCCCTAAAAGGGCACACCACCTCACAGTGGTCGTTGAGTGGCGCGGAAGCACATGGTGGGGGGTCTGGGGGCCTCCCCCAGGAAATGTCAAAATTTCAAGGGTCCCTGGGCACACAAATGAGCACCATTTGAGCACACATTTAGTCAAGCAGCAATAGCTTAAAACCATATGGAATTTTATTTCTGCTTCATTTTGCCTGCGCTTTGCATACCAGCAATTAATGCAGAATGATTCAAGCACTTCCCTTCTTTTTCAGATATCAAAGCTAGTTTTGTTACTATGTAAAATTTTGATTTCCTTCAAGTCCTGTCAATGAATCAGAAGAAAAAGAAAACAAATAAAGAATATAGCCGAATTCCATTAAATTGTTTTCTTTATTTTTTAGCGCAAAATTTCGAAGGGCACTTTGAAATCTAGACCGTATTTCCCAATACGGCAAATACGGTCTGAATCCGCCCCTGCAATATGAGCAAAGAATATACGCAAGGACAGTACATCAGATCTGGTAAAGCGTAATAGTATAGTAGAACACCTAGAATGTGATTAAAAACTAATGCGTCTGCATTATAAGGTTTCCAGTCGAACCCATAGCAACGTCCCCGACATAATTATGTCAGTGCAATTTGTTTACTAAATCCATGTTTATCCAGATTTATTCCAGGCGTGGCAGTATCTCTTTCTTTGCAAATAATTATATGCCCGATTACGAAGGAAATTGAAAGTGCTGTCTCTGACTCTCGGGCTAGCAATTAATGTTGCCCAATTCGTCGCTTGAACGCTGCTATGTTCGCCCGTTTTGCGTCTAGGGCAATAATTGTATTAATTTTTTATAATGGTAACAATTGGCAGGCGAAAGGCTAATTCAACACTGTGAATTTATATTTATTTTTAGCTATAAAAGCAATATTAAGAAATATAGTGAAAATATTTTGAATAGAGGAGAGTACAGCGTCGTGTTTATTGTTATTCCCTGTGGTATATAGTTTATTCGCGAATATTCTGGACATTTAAGCTGTGCATGCTGATTGTAATAGTTAACCAACTATATTGGTAGGATGCGTAGGTCAGCCCCTTTAGATTATAGTGGTCTCACTGGCCCTCTTAACGTGCTTACACAGATCGTCTATATGACAGTTTAATTTTTCGGATTCGCCCAAAGGTGATAGTCGGGCTAGGCGCACACACAACTTCTCCTTCGAAGGGAAATAGGATTGTAATAACTATTTTATAGTTAATTTGCTTACACTAACTTATCAGCTGTCCGCTTTTTCGGTTTTGGGTAAGCTCACTAAATATATATTTGGTTGGCTGGCAATCAATACACCTTTTTCAATCCTCTACCTTTGTTATGTTACCAGCTATTTGTTCCTAGTGCGGTTGCAGGTGGTTGGGTTGCCTCTCCCTAGGGGTCCTCTTCTATCTTTTACTTAACCGCCACCTTAATTATCTATGGTCATTTATGGTTTGGGTCAGCAATCCTAGGTGTTATGCTGTACGTCAGTATTCTCCGACCAACACCCCCCTCTTGGTTCTTGTTATCTATTTTCCGCCTCTATCGACATTAGACCCCTCCTAATGTTCCATGGTTGCATTTGCTGCCTTTCACTATCGCGGGTGGGGCTTAAGTCATGTGTATAATCCATGTTTTCTAGAAGTTCCTTTTCGATGAGTACCGGTATAATGCATTAACGCGTTTGGGATCGGCACTAGGGGTGGACGGCTTGCCATCCCCATCTATGCCGAGGCGCGCCAGTGCCACTTTCGGTGGGGCTAAAACACGGGCTGGTGGTCTGGGGGGTGTTCTTCGTTCGTCGATCGATCGCCACGCGTGCGATAGTTCGAGCTCTTTTAGGCATCGTCTCGGCGACGGGAGGTTTGGCATGATTCTACACCTTAACCCGGAACTAGTTTGGGCGTACTTCCCTGTTATTTGGTGGGTCGTATTATCATATATTTCTTATTTTTGTCCTAGTACCCTGGGGTACTACCTTTATTTTCCTTTCGGTTTGGGTCTCCGGCCAACTCGGAAGAAGGCCGGCCAGTCCTGATCTATCTGGATATTATTCAATTGCATTGGCTGGGGGCATCGCACGTACGGGCTCTTCGCGTTCTTAGGGGGACCTTTTAAGCCATTCTGGGGCCCTTTCACGTCTTCCAACCCATGTATCTACCTCACACCTACCGTATATAGTTATTGAGCTTTTACTCATTGAGCCTATGGTAGGCCCTCCGGATACTCCGTGGGGAATTATTTACTTTACTCCCTAATATATGGCCCCCCGGCCCTTTTTATGGTTGTCTTAGCCGCTCGCCCCTGTGCGCCATCCCGTTACTTCTTAATTCTCTGACGCTTTAAAAACGGACGTTCTAAGCCACCCTCGACCAGCCGCTTATGTAACTCTGCTATTCGGTTTATCATCGTTTCCCCCGGCCCCTATGTCACGATTATGCGGGCCTACTGAGAAATCTTATCCTTGAATGTATGAATTCTCAAACTAACTATCCCCACACATCTACACAAAACGTCTCTCATTTTTCACTTATGATAACTGTCTTGTGTAAATTTTCGCTTCATCCGCAGCACACAACGGAAATTTTCATTATTTCCTTACTTTGTGCTCTTTCCGGCGTAGATTCGATCGTGCCCGTTGTGTTGTCTATCACCATATTATCAATTGCTTCGTCCTTCGGTCCCACCTCGTCTATTGGTAACCCTACTCTGCCCCCCACTCCCGCCTCCCCGCAGGGCTCCTCTTTCGCATTCTTCTGCTTCTCCGCTCTTCTTCCGTTGTTACTCCGCCCTTCGCCCCCTATCGTTCCTGTTTCTCGTCTCTCTCCGGGGTCTTATCCCTTCACGCGCTACTGTGAGGCGTTGGTTTGCCTCTGTTCCCCTGCCTTCTAGCGGTTGCAGGTATGGAGCACGAGACTCGCAAGGGGCTGGGCAGCTCAACGATGCACCGAATCTTAGGGATATATATATCGGAGAAATGGTACAGACCCCCGCGTTCTATCCGTTTTCACTCATAGTGGCTCTATCGGGGTCGCGATTAGGAATTATATCGAGGTTGCAGGGGTGAAAATCAAAGGTAAGTCTCTACGTAGCTATATTTTATTCCTTATTAATACTAGTTAGTGGTGATTCAGCTTTGGCTTCTTTCCTATGTTTTATATGTTTATTACGGGGCCTACTTGGGCGGTACGTCCTGTAAGGGGTTGTTCACCGGCACGCCCTACTTGAGCTCTAGGTAAATAAGACGCAATCTATATGAGCTTCGCTGGTCCACAGCCACCGCGCGATGTGTAGGTTGCGATCCTACGGCGGGCCTTTGCAGCCGCGGGTGCCTTGCTGGCCAAAATAGTCGGTGTACACCCACCACCGATTCCTGGCACGCGCTTGATTTTTTGCTCTCTGACATTTTTACGTTAATTTGTTATCTCCGACGTTTTTTTGCTCTCTTTGCGCCGTAGCGTGACTTAAGGAGATCTCTCTAATCGTGTAATCGCTGAACGAAGTGGGCATGAACTAATGAACGAGTGAAACGTCCAGTTTACGAAACTGTCAGAATAATTAGGGTTTTAGATACATTTTAAGTCACAAACTAAACGGATTCACATTTTAAACGTCGACTGGCAGTCAGGGACACGTCCCCGGCCCGCCCGCGTCTCATTTGTGGCATAGAACTGTATCAAAATCCTTAAACCCAG